AAATGTCAGTAGTCCATCAGTTAATAGCGTTTCTTCAAACGTTTCTTTTGTTAAAAGGGACGTATTTTCTCATAAATACAGGTGTCTACGGATGTCTGCAGATCGGTAGACCTGCTCTTTAGCAACATTTACTATACTTACTCATGATTTGTACTGATCTTTGCATGAAAACACTAAGGATGAATGAAAAAGTCTATATTTACAAATAAATATATAAGTGGTTTTCGATATGGCCTTCATTTTTCTACCTACCCTGAAGCTTGCACGAGGTCAATGTCTTTGATGAAGTAAATGTCTTCCTATCATCAGAGGTTTAGGGCTTTTGATATTAGTTGCATCAACTGATTCGAAATGTAGTTAAATGTATCGGATGTGAAACAAGCTTCTAGTTACTCCCAATTTTCTGTTTATCACGGACCTCGGCTACTTCTATTCATATCCTCTACGGAATTCACAAATGTATGTAGCTTGAAATCTGACTCAAATCCCACAGCCGAGCTTCTGCAACGGCATCAAGAGCCCAAATAAAATGAGTCAAACTAACGGAGGTACTACTTGTGAAAACAAAATTGTCTTATAAATGTTTGCAATATCCTTCAAACAAGTCATCCGAGATGCACTAAAGAGCTGTCCCTCCTAAAACATATTTACGGTTTGTCTCCTTTTCATCTTTGCTCGGATCACAAAAGTGTAGAGATTACCATGAAATGAGGTTCACAGGCGGAGGGCTACGTATGATGTTGAATTGATATTTGGGCGCATAAGTGGGCAACAGAACCGGGGCATCAGGAGACGTAAAAACCGAACGTCCGGAGCCCTGGGAAAAATATGTGAATTGGTTGTAATGTCTCCGAACATAGCAGACACAAAGGCGGTGGGCAGCAAATAAACCAATGAAAGGGGATGAGAGGGGTGTAGAAACCTGCATTTTATGAAAGATACGGTTTGACTTCATATACTAAGCTAATTGGATAAAGTGATGTATCCATTTTAATCCAATTTCTTAATTATTGGAGACGATCCCTATTAATGCAATTAAATTCGCTCGAAAAACATGTTTTCCCACCATGCTTGTATATCAAACGTTTTTCAAGAGTGGATAATATTTATAACTCCATGAGAGTTATCTATTCACAGAGGAAGTTCGCGAACTTGACGGTGTCTGTAAAAAGGCTTTTTTTCTGTGTGATGTCATAATTGTTGTTTTTTCATTGTATTATTCAAGTATTTTATGTATTTGTTGTACGTATTGTTTTGATAAAGTCAAAATAGAAGCATATTTATTTAAATCAATCGGAATTAATCGTAAAATTCATCCAGCCACGTGCTTGCTTAGGGGAAGATCCGTTGAGCTTACTCTGGTAAGATAAGAACGCAAAAATGTTTGAAACGTATAATTACTCTGAACTGTCGTATGGCGTGTCATATGCGTTAGAATAGACCATATTTATTTAGGTCTGAGACTATTACCATCAAGCTCGAAATATAGACTCAGCATACGCAAAACTTCAAGCTTTTAGAGCTAAAATAGATAAAAATAGTCTTTTACGTGAAACAGTTTTGGTTGGCACATGAACGATATGCAATACTGTAAAATATAATGTGCACCATGATAGACAAAGGTTTTGTGCATTTTCACTGCAAGATGTGTACCAAAAAAGCACAACGGCGAACCAGTCACTTATATTTAACACAAACGTACCGGTTTGGTAGTAACTGTCCACATATGCGGCAAAAAGTATAAGGAAAAGAGCAAAAAATCGGTCTAACATCACGATATGTAATTGAAAATTTGCAGTGTGCAATTGTCTGCGACCTTCTCAATGACCTTTAATTGCCGCCCTTGGATAGTTCAAAATAGTTCAATGTCTCAGAAATCACGTACGAGAGACGTAGAGGGAAATATGCTTTATCTTATAGGTAAGATTAAAAATTGCTAGGAATAGGAGTATGAAGTGTTGATATGCCGATGTACGGCAAGCCATATTACGGACGAGTTCATAGCCGTTAGTTCAGAGTGGAGTGGGTGAACGACCTCACTAAGGATGCGGTAAGCAAATTGCTTGAACGTTTAAACTTGTTGCTGTATTATCCCAGCTAAAAAATCATACTCAACATAAGGCAGTACTCGGAGAATATGTTTGAAAATAACCAGGTCGTTTTAGGTAATGCAGAAAAAATAATTGGATTGCAGAAATGAATCAGGGGGAGAATGCATGCAATTGTAAATCGCCAGATTATAAGTATATGTATATTTAAGGGTAACAGGCAAGAAATGCCCTT